AAGTGGAAAAAAAAAGTTGGAAAAAGACGTCAAGATCACAAAGGAAGAAATAAAGACAGCTTGCAGAGCCGGTAAATAAACATAAATTTAAGCCACACCTTGGGCAACAGCAAGGAATACTGTAAATTTGCTGATATAAACAAGGACATAGGCATACTGAGACATGAATGAAACGCTGTAGAAGATGCAATTGAGTGATACAACGAAGGCAAGAAATTGATTCCATATTTTCAAGGCCATAAATTCCGAATTCATAGCCCACAGGAGGTTGTGATTATTCAAAAAGGGAAGGAAACGCCCCTTAAAGGTGACATTATGTAAGTGATGTAATAAAGAAAGCTAAAGCCCTGGCCACACATGATATAAGAAAATCTGGATAAGAGAAAATATTACAAATGATGACAGAGAAATACTGCAGAGAAAATGGAAGAGGTGGAAAACAAAAACGAACAAAGGACTGAAGAAGAAGAAAAAACTTGTCCATTTGGAGGATGAGAGGCCTCCAAGCTAACGGAACCAAACTGTGAAGACAGACAATCACTAGCCTTGCAACCAAAAGAAACAACGAAAGATTATATAGAAATAGTTTATACAAATATAGATGGTTTATGTTTGAAGTTACTAGAACTAGATACAAGTATTGAAAGTAATAAACCAGATGTAATATGCATCACTGGATCCAAACTGGATTCCTCCGTAGACGATGTAACATTAGGACTCAGAGACTACAATATATGGAGAAAAGATAGGGCAAATGGAAATAGAGGGGCGTTAGCAATATTAACAAGGAAAGGAATTATTATAAAGGAGATAGAGATTCCCATATCCCATAGTAGAACTAAAGGCAATTGAGGTAGAAATAAACGGAGTAACTATAATAATAACCACAGTGTACATGCCACCTCATACATCAGTGTGGCCACAAGAAAATTACCAAAAACTTATTCAAGAAACGTTAAAGAGCCTGGAAGAAGTGCTACAACTTTCGGAAACTAATGCAAAAGAAATTCTTGTAACAGGGGATTTTAATACCAAAGTTGACTGGGAAAGTTTCGATCCCAGAGCTCAGCCAGATTCGTGAAATGCAAAATTACTTGAAGTCATAAATTAATTTTGTCTCTTCCAGAATGTAACAGATCATACCAGGATGAGAGGGCTAGATAGACCGAGTATGCTTGACCTAATACTTACGAAGTTTAAAGAAGACATCAAGGATATGGAGTACTGCCAAAAGTCGTTCAGTGATAATTGCAAGAAAGTGAGAGAAAAGAAACAGCTTCTTTGGAGAAGGTTCAGAAGACATAGATATCAGGCAGCGTATGAAAGGTATAAAGTAGGAAGAAAAGAGTATACCCAAACCACCTGGGAGGTGAAATTAGACTTTGAAAAGGATATAATCAATAAGTGTACAAATCAACCAAAGTTCTTCTTTAACTACATAGGTAGTAAGACTAAAAGAAGAGATCAAATTAGCGCCATCAAAGACAATAACATCGTTTATACTAAGGAGGAGGAAATGTGTGAAATGCTTAATGAGAAATTTCAGTCAGTGTTTGTTCAAGTCCCATACTTTGAAATGGCAAGTAACCATGCAAACGTAAATCAGAATATCGAAAATATCACACTCCAAAAGAATGAAATAAAAGACCTGCTGAAAGGATTAGATAAGGCAAAAGTAGAGGGACGAGATGAGATATCTAACTGGGTTCTGAGGGAATATGTACTTCGTTATTGTTATTATTCCAAAATTCAAAATGACAAGGAAAACTACCAAAAGATTAAAATCTTGCCAATGTTACATCTTTAAACAAGAACGGCGACAAACAAAACCCTCTAAATTATAGACTAGTTTCGTTAACTAGTGTAGTATGCAAGCTGTTAGAAAGGATAATTAAGCAACAGTGGGTTGAAGTCCATGGAGAACACGATATGATATCAAATAAACAATTTGGTTTTAGGGAAGAAAGGTCATGCGTAGCAAATCTTTATCTGTTTCTATGAAAGAGTTTCTGAAATATTTCAAGAAAGAGACGGCTGGATGGATTGTGTATAGTTAGAATTTAAGAAAGCATTTGATAAGGTGTCTCATAGAAGACTATTATGGAAATTAGAACACCTAGGTGGAATAAAAGGCAAACGCCTCGAATGAATAGAAGACTTTCTTCATGTAAGACAGATGAGAACCGCAATAAGAGGGAACCGCTCTACATGGGGACGAGTAACTAGCGGAGTACTTTAAGGATCGTTCTTGACGTTGATTATGTTTACTATTTGAATAAATGATTTAGGATCAAATATAAGTCCAGGTAGTTATCTGAATATGTTTGCAGATGACGCGAAATTGCAAAAGAGGATAATAGACGATGCCTCATGCCAATTTCTTCAATGTGACATCGAGAATTTATTTATTTGTAGTTGTAAATGGAAAATGGAATTTAACACCAATAAATGTAATGTAGGTTCGGAGAAAGTAAAAATCGTCCACTATACCAATACAAGT